AATCAGTTCAGACCGTTGTACTGATTTAAACAGGAGCCATTTAGAGCCATTGCGTGCGCAAACAAAAAGCATTCAGGGCCGGCGCTTGGAGACTGCGGGGCCTTGGGCAAATTGAATTTTGCGGGGCCGTTGACGTTATATAAACCACCGATAGGATATTAAGACACGTCGTCGTCGTACTGGGGCCTTGCTGGTCATAATGGGACGCGTCATAGCAGAAAGTATGGGAGCCAGACTGACCTTCAGACCATTGGACTATCTAATAACTCCGAATATTTTGTTGACTGGATTAGGAACTATTAGTAGGCTTAAGTATATTATAAATATACAACTGGAACGCGCGGGGCCTCGCAAACGCGTGCCATCCCCTAGCGCCGCCCCTGAAACTTTAGATCAAAAGAACGAAGATCAAACCAAACTATTGGAAGTAGACTCCACTTGGCAAGACACCTGAGGAGGGTGACGGGGCGCCGGGGAGGAGGGAGCAAAAAAAAAAAGGGTGTTGGGGAGCATAGAATGAATTGGATCAAGTGAATGAAGATCAAACTAACGTATTGGGGCTGCACTCGGAAAGACACCCTAGAGGGTTACAGGCCACCGGGGGGGGGGTGATGGTGGAGCTAAGCAAGAATTGGATCAAGTGAATGAAGATCAAACCAAAGTATGGGAAGTAGACTGCACAGTGAAAGACACCCGAGACGATGACAGGCCACAAGGGGGAAAAAAGGGGGTGGAGGGCGAAGTACAGCCAGAAACCAACGGACGGACGAAAAATCGGTGGACGTCGACTGAGACGGATTGGTGTGGAAGCTGAATTTTCCCGCCCCAGGGTTGGGGAGTAGCTGAGCAAGGTATGTGCAAGCTTGACATAGAAAGCAGATAGGACCGTACAAAAAGAACGTTCCCGCTAAGAGCCTTCCTCGGAAAGAAGCTCTTGACTGCTGTTCATTCGCGCATAATATCCCAACCCTTGCGTTTACTACTCCTTTACGAGGACTCGGAAAGTAGCTCTTGACTGCTGTTCATGCGCGCATAATATCCCAACCCTTGTGGTTACTACGCGTTTATGAGGACTCGGAAAGTAGCTCTTAACTGCTGTTCATGCGCGCATAATATCCCAACCCTTGTGGTTACTACTCCTTTATGAGGACTCGGAAAGTAGCTCTTGACTGCTGTTCATGCGCGCATAATATCCCAACCCTTGTGGTTACTACTCCTTTATGAGGACTTTACGATCAAGTTGTTGAGCTACTTTCTGTTTCTTGTTATGTCCTCATTTGTCCTGTTTGCTGTGGAAGGTTTAAAATTGACGATTCGCGCCATGAAGTCATTTACGTGCTTATTTAACTTAATAGGTTTAGGGTTCAGGTAAAGTTAAACGGTTAAGGGATAGGTTTAGGCTAAGGGTTCATTTTAGGTTTGGGGATAGGTTTAGGGCTAAAGGGGGGGGGGGGCCTTTCACGGGTCGTGGCGGCTAGGGCTGGGGTTGATCCTTTGCATGCTTTGTTTTCGTGGAATTTTAACTGTATTTTTTTTTTCGTTTTAAAACCTTTTATGACAATGAAGTAACACGTTTAATGATAAACTACAGCTTGAGTTCACACAATGTAAACAAACAGGTTATAATATGCAACTGCTTAACAACCGAGTCAAATTGAATTAAAGTTACCATGCAACACTTGATGGTGCTTGGGGTTTGAGTGGAACTTGTTCAGACTGCATGAGACTGATTGCCAGTTCAAGCGAGCAGCAGATGAGACCATACGATTCATGGCATAGGGTGTGACTCCAAGCCGAGATAGTAGCTGCATGTTCGCCATTGGTATCTCCTTGCAGAAAATGGATGCTGTTTTGAAGAGTGACGTCGCCGATTTTATTTGAAAGTTGAAAATGACGTCAAATGTAGTGCGTGGTTTTGAGGCTACTTTTTTTGTTTTTAATAAGAGGGGAAACAAAAATATAATAACATCTAGCAATAACCCGCCAAAAGTTGCCGACAGCAATTTCTTCTGCTTGTCTGCCCCGCTGCCAGACCTTGTCGTCGTCATTTGTCGATGGCTCTTTTGAAAGTAGTCCCGAAGAGTAGTCCACTTCTTTCTTGCTCCTTGATCTGTGAGTAGAAAAAAAAAAGGGGTGGGGAGAGGTTGTAATCTGTGCTTAAACATTTTATACATAATAATAATAGTCATTTCTTCTTCTAAACAGGTACTTGGCCTCTGGCGAAAACCATCGATCCCTGTCATTCCATTTTCGAGCTGGTGTCACAACGATAAGATCAATTACGACAGAGACATTCAGAGCTATTTGGAATGTTCTACAACCTCTGATGATGCCAACACCAGATGAAAATTGGTGGCGACAGATTGCTTTAGAATACAATGAAAGATTTGATTTCCCTTTGTGTCTAGGGGCGATCGACAGCAAACATATTCGCATTAAGAAGCCTCATCGGTCTGGATCCAAGTATTACAATTACAAAGGCTACGGCTCAATAGTTCTCCTGGCCGTTTCAGACGCAAATGGAAAATTTGTGATAGTGGATGTGGGTTCCTATGGTGGAAATAGTGACGGAGGCGTGTTCAGTCGCTCAACTTTAGGGGAAAAACTTTTGGCTGACAAACTTGGAATTCCTGCAAATGATTTTATTCCTGGGACAGACATCGACTCGCCTCACACTTTTGTTGCTGATGACGCCTTCCCTTTGAGAGAGAATATAGTGAAACCGTTTACTCACCATCAGTTGACACACGAGAAAGAAATTTTCAATTATCGACTTTCTTGAGCCAGAAATAGTGGTGAATGCCCATTTGGGAGAATAGCGCAAATGTGGAGAATTCTGTTACGTCAGATTGACGCACAACCTCTAGCAGCCACATACATTGTTATATCAATCACTGTTCTTCACAATTTCATTGTCGATAACGAGCCCCATAGACTGGTGACCACAACTCAAAATATGCAACAAGACCACGGGCAGCCACAAGGATCTCTACTACTAAACTATCAAAATCATGAAAGAAGAAGGCAACGGGCCACAAACGGTGCGCTCCAAATAAGGCAACAATTTATGCAGTACTTCATATCAGATGCTGGCTCTTTGGCGTGGCAAAACGACACATGTTTCCTATGAGATGTTTCAGACAAAGTGATTGAGAGAGAGAGAGAGAGAGAGAGAGAGAGAGAGAGAGAGAGAGAGAGAAAGAGAAAGAGAAAGAGAGAGAGAGAGGGAGAGAGAGAGGGAAGGGGAAAAGAAGAGGCAGATAAGCTTAAAATAAATAAATAAATACAAATGTACAAACTTACCATCAGTTCCAATTTCTTTGCCTATTTCTTGCCATTGTTTAGCAATGAAAAGTCTGTTCAAACAGTTGTCATCAGTTTTGTCGTACAGTGCTTGCCGTTTTTGCACTGCGGCGATTAGAGCTTCGTGGATGGACAGTTTTGCGGCTGGTCTAATCACTTGCTGAGAGTAAACTGGGAGAAATTTTAGTTGCGAGTTAAAACGTTCGGGGTCGATTCAGCAAATGGGAGCGGCCAAAAAAAAAGAGAGGAACGCGAGAGGGGTGCACTCCGTTGCCTAGATTGAAATATGAGACTCTTCCGCTGATTCGGCAACTGAGAGCAAAGGTCAAGCTGGGACCATCACGAAGCGGAGAGGAACACGAATGCACTCAGTTCACAGTATAACTTGACAAAACATGAACTCAATTTTTGCTACACCCCTTCCCACATGACTCGCCACTGCACACTTTTTATTTCACGCTCATGAACTATGTTAAATATTCTAATGTTCTAAAAACGTTAGGCAGAATTTTTTTTTTTTTTACACCATTCTTAAATTGAGACGATTTCATTTTCCGAAAAGAAAAAAATAATCGCAAAAGCAGTTGCGCTATTTAATAAAATAAAATCATTTAGCGCACCGGTAGTTAACGGGAATTATATTTTACTCGCTAATGAACTCATTATTGACCCATACTTTCTTTCAAACATTTTCTTGGCCTCTGGCGAAAACCATCGATCCCTGTCATTCCATTTTCGAGCTGGTGTCACAACGATAAGATCAATTACGACAGAGACATTCAGAGCTATTTGGAATGTTCTACAACCTCTGATGATGCCATTACCAGATGAAAATTGGTGGCGACAGATTGCTTTAGAATTCAATGAAAGATTTGATTTCCCTTTGTGTCTAGGGGCGATCGACGGCAAACATATTCGCATTAAAAAGCCTCATCGGTCTGGATCCAAGTATTACAATTACAAAGGCTACGGCTCAATAGTTCTCCTGGCCGTTTCAGACGCAAATGGAAAATTTGTGATAGTGGATGTGGGTTCCTATGGTGGAAATAGTGACGGAGGCGTGTTCAGTCGCTCAACTTTAGGGGAAAAACTTTTGGCTGACAAACTTGGAATTCCTGCAAATGATTTTATTCCTGGGACAGACATCGACTCGCCTCACACTTTTGTTGCTGATGACGCCTTCCCTTTGAGAGAGAATATAGTGAAACCGTTTACTCACCATCAGTTGACACACGAGAAAGAAATTTTCAATTATCGACTTTCTTGAGCCAGAAATAGTGGTGAATGCCCATTTGGGAGAATAGCGCAAATGTGGAGAATTCTGTTACGTCAGATTGACGCACAACCTCTAGCAGCCACATACATTGTTAAATCAATCACTGTTCTTCACAATTTCATTGTCGATAACGAGCCCCATAGACTGGTGACCACAACTCAGAATATGCAACAAGACCACGGGCAGCCACTACTACTAAACTATCAAAATCATGAAAGAAGAAGGCAACGGGCCACAAACAGTGTGCTCCAAATAAGGCAACAATTTATGCAGAACTTCCTATCAGATGCTGGCTCTTTGCCGTGGCAAAACGACACATGTTTCCTATGAACTATTTCAGACAATGTTCTTGAGAGAGAGAGAGAGAGAGAGAGAGAGAGAGAGAGAGAGGGAGGGAGTGAGAGAGAGAAAGAGAAAGAGAGAGAGAGAGAGAGAGGGAGAGAGAGAGAGAGAGAGGGAAGGGAGGAAGAGTGAAGGGAAAAAGAAGAGGCAGATAAGCTAAAAATAAATAAATAAATACAAATGTACAAACTTACCATCAGTTCCAATTTCTTTGCCTATTTCTTGCCATTGTTTAGCAATAAAAAGTCTGTTCAAGCAGTTGTCATCAGTTTTGTCGTACAGTGCTTGCCGTTTTTACACTGTGGCGATTAGAGCTTCGTGGATGGACAGTTTTGCGGCTGGTCTAATCACTTGCTGAGAGTAAATTGGGAGAAATTTAAGTTGCGAGTTAAAACGTTCGGGGTCAATTCAGCAAATGGGAGCGGCAAAAAAAAAGAGAGGAACGCGAGAGGGGTGCACTCCCTTGCCTAGATTGAACTATGAGGCTCTTCCGGTGACTCGGCAACTGAGAGCAAAGGTCAAGCTGGGACCATCACGAAGCGGGGAGGAAAACGAATGCACTCAGTTCACAGTATAACTTGACAAAACATGAACTCAATTTTTGCTACACCCCTTCCCACATGACTCGTCACTGCACACTTTTTATTTCACGCTCATGAACTATATTAAATATTCTAATGTTCTAAAAACGTTAGGCAGAAATTTTTTTTTTACACCATTCTAAAATTGAGACGATTTCATTTTCCGAAAAGAATAAAATAATCGCAAAAGCAGTTGCGCTATTTAATAAAATAAAATCATTTAGCGCACCGGTAGTTAACGGGAATTATATTTTACTCGCTAATGAACTCATTATTGACCCATACTTTCTTTCAAACATTTTAGAATTATTTATATAGAATTTATATACTCTCAATACCAAATTCAACAGTCACACCAGACTCAGAAGCGTAATATATAGCAGAGATTTCAAAACATCTCATTAGAAGGTTCGCTTAGGAAATCCAAATTGTTATGATTTGGAGAATGAAGATTTACATCCTTGACCCCTGACATGTTTTAATGCGGCAAAAGTGTTGGTTTTTCAAGAATTTATACGTCTTTTTAAAATGTTATAAATGTTCGAGAAGTTCGCTAATTATAGTATTCTTCACGAAAGAATCGATAGAATCAACAAACTAATAACGTCACATTGGAGATGGTCGTCGAGCGCGAGCTCATAATACCCGCCCCCCCCCCGGCACACCTCCACACGGGCCGACGCTGGGTCTCCCCGCCACCAGACCATGCAGAAGTACGCCGGGAACTTCCCGGTCCACTCTCCTTGGTGCTGAACGGCTTTGCTTCCTCTCCGGGGTAAAGGTGTTGCGTTACCTCCCCCCACCGTCCAGGGAGTTGTCCGGTTGGGATGAAAGCGGGGACGAAATGGTCGCCTAGGAGCGGCTTTCTCAGGGCCGCGTAGCTAAAATCATCGGCAAGGGTTTTAACCGCCACCCAGGCCTCGTATCCATTAACGGCAACAATTAATCATGTTATTGCGTTACTCCCGTTGCGTTGGGAGTCATGCAAGTGGCCGGGGTTTTCAAGCTTCGGGAGGCAACCTCCCTACTACTCTGCGACGAAGAGGCAAAACCCCATGTGGACGCCTCCAAGTTTCCTCGGAGATGCTCCGCTTCCGCGGACAGAATCAACAAACTCAAAAGCTCAATGCTTACTGTGCCAGCTATCAGGGACTGGGCATACTTAGCCATAGGGTTGTGCATGTATTGAAACGCACTCATAGATGTGTTCATGTTGATAGCGAAGAGGACAGTCATTCAAATTTTTAACCTGGTCTTCTTTAGCACTTTTACGTTGTACTGCTCCTTGTCTCTCTTTTGGGCAGACGGTCGTCTGAGATTCTCACAACATGTCCCACCAAGCAAAGCTGGGACTGCATTGACATGATAAAGATTCTGGAGAGACCTGCCTGTGTGAGCACCTCAGTGTCTGTGACCCTGTCTTGCCATTTTCTTGTTTTTCTGAGTCTTGTTGAATTTCCACCGGTTCATTTAAACTACAATGTCCACCGGTTCATTTAAACTACAATGTCCACCGGTTCAGTTAAGCTACAATGTCCACCTGTTCATTTAAACTTGCAATGTCCACCTGTTCATTTAAACTAAAATGTCCACCGGTTCATTTGAACAAGTGGTTTTCGTAGCCCAATGACTCACAGGAACCGTATTTGGGACTGTTTGATTAGATAGTTACTAACCGAATCACTCCCAGGGACCGTATTTGGGATTATCATGAATTATTATTTGATCTTGACATTTAGATTTAGCTCAAGGGAGTTAATTCTGCCTCTCGGGAATCGAAAATCCGATACGACACAACATCCGTAAATAGTTCGTTTCCGACTAAGACAAAAAAAAATTCTTCGTCCAACTCCACGAGTGACCACGACTCTGTAATATTTGTGTACCTTTCAAGGGCGTAATGGACGAGATTATGGCTTGAGAAAAAGGCCTCTGTTAGATATTTTTAAAGGCTCTTGTTGATTACAAAGCTTACGATTAAATTGGTTAAAATTTTTATTGGAGCAGCTGAAGCAATCACAGAACTGTAATGAATAGTTTACATTAAAATTTTGAAATGACATATGCACCGCTAGCTTGAATGGAATAGATGGATTAAATAGGTAGATATAGTTTGAATAGATAAAGATTGAAAAGATATTGGTTGAATAGATATAGATTGATATAGATATAGATTTAATAGATATAGATTGAAAACATATTAGATTGAATAGATATAGTTTGAATCGATAAAGATCGAAAAGATGAAGATTGAATAGATATAGATTTAATGGATATAGATTGAAGACATATAGATTGAATATATAGATTGATTAGATAAAGATAGAAATGATATAGATTGAATAGATATAGATTTAATAGATACAGATTGAGGACATATAGATTGAAGACATATAGATTGAAGACATATAGATTAAAGACATATAGATTGAATGGATATAGATTAATGAGTTACAGATTGAACAGATATAGATTCAATAGAGATAGATTGAATAGAAACATACTGAATTAAGGAACTGATTGCCATTGCTTACATTATCCTTTAATACATTTTACATCTTCCTTTTTTCACTTAATTAAATTGTTTTGTTTTTTTCTTAGAATAACTCTGAAGAACAACGGTCCACACAGTGGCGTAGCTAGAATTGGTGTCACCCGGTACGGTAAACTCATGATGTTACCCCCCCCCCCCCCGAATTCCGCGATGGATTTCTTCTTGTTAAAATGACTCCACAGTGACAAGGACGAAAACAAATTACTTGATGCGCAGGAGTAAACTGTATTTAAGAACTGTAACAACGCTGAGTTGCAGTTATTTTTACATTAAATTTACTTTATTTAAAATATTTCTTTCCTGGTCTTTAAAGCTGAAAACCTGAGCAAAAATCAATAGCAGTCACCGTAATCACTGGGATTGGTGACGTGTTTAGAAGATGTATGTGCGCTCGGATATCCTGTAATACAATTTATTTATTTAGGCATTTTTTTTATAGCGCTTACCATAAAGCTCTAAGCGCTTTACAATTATTAAAAACATGTAAACTAAGTAAAATAAAAATGAGACACTAGGATAGTAACAATTCGGTTAGACCGAGCAGTGTGCTCTGTAAATAGCCAATTTTTCAATTCGGTGTCACCCCGGTGCGGTCCGTACCACACGCAACCCCCTAGCTACGCCCCTGTGTCCATATAAGTCCTTGCTGCCCCCCCCTCAACACGCCTAGGTGTAATGTGGACGGGGTTTCTTTAACTTTTTGGAAGAACCCGCTACCCCCCCCCCTCGCCCAATCTTTTTCCAGTAAGGTCAGTGCCGTTGTCTCCCACTTCGCTTGAGGACTACTGTATTGATTGGGATTATTTTAAATTTAAAGATATTTGCGTTAAACATAATTTTATTCAGCAGCAGTTGCTTTTTTTGGTTATCCCCGTAGAAAGTCAAGAATAGTGTTGAAATTATTGCTGTTACGTTACTGCATCATTTATGGACCCCAGCAGGAATATTTTTTTTTTTTAAATCTCTCTGCGTTCAATTTTGCGTGACAGTAACTTTCAAAATATTTTGTTTGCGTTGTCCTTGATGTTATGCAATCTTACAGTGGATGGAAAACAAAAAGTCTGCCTGGCTCAGATGCCAACTACGGAAACTGTTTGGTGCTGTTGTTGTTGTTGTTGTTTCTGCCCTTCAACAAATTATGAACCACTGTAAATGAACGTTTTTTTTTTTAATTCAGACAAATTTTGAACCACTGTAAGTGGACACGTTTGCAGACGACACCTAATACTAAATCAATAGACTTTGAGCTCTGGCCCCGCGACGTGAGACTCTGACTGAGGCCACCCAAACTTATGTACACGACCAATGGA